TGGAAATAAGTAGGTACGTATATTTCAAATGTATAGGTAAAGTAATACTTCTTATTCGTGGAGAGTAAACATGAAGTCAAAATGAAAAACGCTGTTGTTAAAACAATACTGCAGCGTTTAGAATTATTTTTTTTTATCATACTGCAATGACAACAAATTGCTTAAAAATTATACGTGGTTACTCAAGGGACTCAAWCCTACGTGTAAAGTAGAAGTTTCGTTTTACTTTCTTTTAATTTCGGTTTTTTCGGTTACAATGGATCAAAATGACAAAATCCTAAACATGTCTTTGGGTGTGGTTTTTTGTCCCGTATTTTCTTTTTTATCCCTCGTTAAATTTGTTAATAAAAATCAGGTTACCATTTTTCCACCTCCCCAAAGGTTAAARATAAAAATTGGTTGTTTTCTTTCTCCTCGGTCCTGATTTATCTGGATTCCACACACGTAGTTTATAGCTAGTGTTGGTGAAATTGTGAAAATAACAAAACACAACTGGTGTTTGGTTTCTACGTGTGAAATACGCTACAATTAAATTACACACTGAAAATCACAGGCAAACCCCATCATCCGACCCCCGTTTTCAAAGGTTTGTGCAAACAGAGTTTCCGTGTAATTTGTGATTTTTAAAGGCAAACTAAAAAAATAACAACGGGTAGAAATAAAATATTTACGTTAAAACACATTTATATATCAAACGCGAAATGCATATACAATTAAAGTGGCGTAATGCTTCTAATAATATATTGTAAGTATATATATACACACTCACACACACACACTCCCTGATTTCGCTTAAAAATATTTAACACGCGTTAAAAGTGTAATTCAGATCGTATATAGTCGTCATTATACAACGATAAAATAATACACTCTATATTTAGTTTCGTTTGATGAAAACACTCTTCAACATAATGCAGGTATACCTATGCATATATATTATATACTATTTACAGTACATGCACCTATAATACAACTTCTGATAATATTATTACAATGTCACAWAACACCACGTGGGCTATTATGTATAAAATAACATTTACAATGGGTGGTCGATTATAACCGTCATAAAAACTCAAAAAGAGCGGGGAAAAACAGTTTATTTATTTTACATTTGGAGGGTGTATTCATGATTTATTTAGACGACGCTTTGACAATGATTATAATATATTCAATAATCACTATATACGCGTACAGTCATCTGCAGTGCGTTGATATCCCAGATAACAAAAATTTAGAAATAGAGTTTAAAAAAATAAGTACCAAATGAAGATAATTGTGAGTAACTTTTATTTAATTTATACATATATGTATATTATGTATATGTATATATATATTTATTTATTTATAATCAATATAATATTTTGAACAATTATTATGCTATTACAATGACTCGCGTACAAGTGTTTGGTATTACATAATATCTGTATAGGTACGTGTTAAATATTAAATTTCAATTCCTTAGTTTTAAACAAATTAGGTTATAAAAAGTTTTTATGTTGCCCAGCCATAATGAAAAAAAAAATTGTCGATAGAGTATAATCTCGGTAATGTTATGTATAATATTCGTGCATAATAGACGTCTTGCAACTTAATAATATTAATATTTATTTTTATTAATGATAAATTTATAAATAATGATAATTGTAATATATAAAGTATATCTTAGATGACAATCATAAGATAGTAATTTGCTCGTTTATCATAAGACTATACGAGATAAAGTTGAAGTAGTTATAGGCACCGCTTCTCTGCTATGTATATGAATTACATCATATTATTATAAGACCTTTCTTATCTATTAACTGATGGTAATAAATTAGTTTTTATTTATTTCTACTCATTTTATAGTTTTGTACGGACTAATCATATGTTGATATCGACTGTTGTTTCAGCATCTTTCATCAGCAACATAAAATTGTTGAACGTCCGAATAGCTAACCATACGGTATTAGGCGGTAGTACAAAACTAGAATGTACATACGACCTAGAAGGAGAAAATTTGTATTCGGTCAAATGGTACAAGAATGGAGATGAGTTCTTCAGGTATTTACCCAAAAGCAAACCAAAAATACAAGTTTTTGAAAAACGAGGCATTTATATTGACGTAAGTAATCGAATTACAATTATAATACAATTTTATATATTATTATAAYTATGTATTATTAACAATTAAGTGTGAAAAGACAGTCGTGTGTGTATCAGCAGTAGGTTCTCACCTGTTGTCAATAACAGTCAGTACCTAGTAGGTACCTACACAGATATATTATAGCCACTAAGCTTAAACTAAAAGAAAGCATTCGTTGATATTATACTGTCTTTCACCGTTTTGTGATATTCCTTATGAGTTCGCTAAAAATACTGTTATTTTACTCATTAATAATTATATAGCGTCATTATTTTATCGTCTTTTGTAGTAAAAAATAAA